ACACACACACACACACACACACACACACACACACACACACACACACACACACACACGCACAACTCGAAGCTGTGTGGATATTTTCTTAAAAGTTAAGTCTCTCAACCTTCTAGCGAGGGTTTTGTTAAAATTAAGAATATGGTCATGTTTGCTTGTTTTGTTTGTTTTTCTTGCTTGTTTTGTTCGTTTTTGTTAATTTGTTTGTTTGTTTGTTTGGCTGTTTGATTGTCGGGTGTTTGTTTGAGTGAAGAGCATTCACTAAATACATGTGTATCAAAATGAGCATAGGCTATGCATGGTGGTGTATTTCCAGTTCACTTTGGAGGGCACAATTTGACTCAATTTTAAATCGCGCACACTCGAATAGACCTATATTCTGTCCCCGGGTTTTTATGCACCCCACATAATTTAGCAAAATTTGACATTTTTTTGCAGTTTCTGAATATTTTTCTTTATCACTCTTTGTTAAAATTAACAGAATTGCATAATTTCAAATTTTTAGGTTCAGTTTGCATAATTTCATTTTTTGTTGTTGCATAAAACCGCGGGACAGCTATTATATTGCCAGCCTGGAGTTTTACACGATCGGTTCAGTTTGGTAGGCGGGGCACAGATTGAGGGAGCAATGCCGCGATCGTAGCACAAACCAATCGCTCGACTCGTTGTTTAAAAAACAAACGCGTTTGTGTTCAGGCGACGAGTCGGGCGATCGGTTGGCGATCAGTTTTCCCAATGGGTGCGGCATTCATCACGCCTGTCCCACCACCGCTGGTTGTACCAAAGACCGTGTGTAGTGGAGAATCTTTGGTTGTACCAGAGAGTTTACAGTAATACTACTGTAAACCCTCTCTGGTTGTACGCTTTGGGGCACGGTTCTATAGAGAGCAAGGATATTAAAAGTTGTTTTAAGCTCCTTGATAGAGAGCACAGAGCGGCGGCCATGGCAGTGTGCGATCTAGGAGTAATAATAGGCCAAGGATGTTATAATTTTGTTTGTCGTAAAGTCCTTGATCTAGGTGTAGAAGTCTATGGTACAGAGAAACACAACGGCACGATAATGTTATTATAGCACTATTAGTGGTTGGGGACATCT